GAGAGAGAGAGAGAGAGAGAGAGAGAGAGAGAGAGAGAGAGAATTGGTTTCCAGAGTTCTCGCTGACTGGCGCAGAGCTGGCTGGCCTTGGTTTTGTTTACGGCGCTGACCTTTGAACACCACAGGCCAAGCTTCTCAATCACCTAAGCGTGGCTACTGCCAAGCAGCTGGCACCAATGCTTTTGGTAGTTATTCTCCCAAGTTCTGAAATACCGTAGCATGCCAGTGCCCACAGGAGCAACAGAATCAGCAGCTGGGGTGTTATGCACTGCCCATACAGTAGCTGAGAGCAACGGTTTCAGTTAGAGATGAGCCCACGGAATTTTATCCATGCCATTCAGGTTCAGACCTGATTTTTCTTTTAGCCTTAAGGCTGATGCAAATGTAACCTGTCCCCCTCCAGTGGCTAGCGCATGTAGAGAGCTTTACAAGTCTACTGCTGACCGGGGCCTTTAACTCAGGCAGTGGAGGCTCATGCTCATTAAATCCAAACATGCTGGGGTTGACAGCCTCACCTTAAGTGACTTACCCAAGGGTCACGGTGGAAGGCTGTGGCACAACTGGGAATTGAACACATTTCCTATGATTTAACCACAAGAGCATTCTCATATATCCTGCCTCCTCTGCATAATACTACAGAGCAAGAAAAATCCACAAGGTCCCTGACAGTGGAGATTTATTAGCCATGTTCTTCTCAGCTGCGAGAAAGCCTTTTCAAGTTTCTTGGGTTTAATAGCTACTTGCAGAAGACGGGAATTAAGCTTGGCAGAGGGCAGAAAAACTGGTTTCCCTCACCTCCCTACCCCCATTTCTTTATCCAGCTCCCTGTTTTTAGAGGAGCAGCCGTATTAATCTGTATCCACAAAAAGAACAGGAGTACTTGTGGCACTGTAGAGACTAACACATTTATTTGAGCATAAGCTTTCGTGGGCTACAGCCCACTTCATCAGATGCACAGAATGGAACATATAGTAAGAAATATATATACATACAGAGAACAGGAAAAGGTGGAAGTTGCCATACCAACCCTAAGAGGCTAATTAATTTTGTAGTGATAATCAAGATGGCCCATTTCAGACAGTTGACAAGAAGGTGTGAGGATACTTAACATGGGGAAATAGATTCAATTTGTGGTTTTGTGAGACTAGTGTTTTCTTGTAGAGACAAAGCATAAGCCTATGAAAGCAGCTTTGGAAATCAAATGGTCTTTGTTTTATAATTTGATCCAATGCAAATAAAAATGATGTTTGTATCCTGCTGCTGTTTATTCTCTGGAGCTCTTTCAAACTGCTCCCCTAGCAACTTTACAAACAAGACACAAGTTTTCACCTTCCCAGCAAAATACTGACTACTCCTTATGGCGCTAACTCCCACGGTGCACTAGATGCTTTTCAAATGAGGATGAAGACAGAGACCTTGCCCCAAATCTGTACAGTTTAAAGCCTTGACCCTCCAATGAACCCCACCTGGTCAGCCTCCTGCCCACGCACAGAGCCCCACTGAAGTCAGTGCCACGGAAGCCATGGCATAAAATAGATTTTAAGTCAGACAATTTCACTGTGGTTGTGAGGGTGCACCAGAGCCTGCCCATGCAGAGATCATTGCAGGATCAGGCCCCAGGATCCGGTTTGAACTCTTGCAGCGTGATACGTCTCCAATCATCTTGAACTTTTTCAATGCCACAAAAGGTTCCAGGCAACCCCCTTTCAGTAATTTTTGTCCCTTGTCAGCAACCAGTGCATGGACACGTTATCTAAGGCTGTTGTGCCTACTATAAGCAGGCAGCCCATTCAGCCACTGTTGGATATATCGCTGTCCAAGAGCCATTCTCTTTCTCCACTCCCCTGCATCTCTTCAGTAAGTGGCAGTGGGTAGTCATTGAAGCACCTGCCATGCTGAGTCATTCAGTTCTACTTGCCTTTGGCTCCTCATTTTATTGGTTTCACAGGAAGAATCTCTTCTTTCCCCCTCACTCTGGGTTGGGATTTGAAGCACCTTTGCTGTGAATACAAATCGCCGATTGGGCTTAATGCCACAGTTTGGTTTGCAGCCTGCAGAGCTCTGTCTGTATGGCTGGAGGAAAGCACAGCAAGCCAGGCACATTCGGTGGACCTATGCGCTGAAAGCTGGGGCAGCACATTCACTAAAAGTAGGGTCAGTTGCACAAGGGCTGGGTTGAATAGAGTTGAGAAGGCTCTGATCCCAGACATGTAAAGGGCTGTTGACACTGAGAATACTGGAAACAAGAGGGGGAAAACCTGAGATATCACAAGGGAATGTTTGTTGTAACAGGATTAGGACTGCAGGAATAATTCTAGGAGGAATTAGCTGTTACAAAGTTAATTTGAATGCATTATTATTGTAGCCACCCTGTCCCAGGGTATGAGAGAGACAAAGTGGGTGAGGTAATGTCTTTTTTATGGGACCGACTTCTGTTAGTGAGAGAGACAAGCTTTGAGCTTACACAGAGCTCTTCTCGATTTAAAAAGGTGCCCTCTAGTGGCTAACGTAATAGCCCTAAATTTCCCCCCGAGGAAAATTAGCTTAGTGCAAAGTGGCTTTATACTTCAGCTGCAGAGGAAGTTCCAATCCTTTTACAGTTATACTTGTATTAAAACTACTATTTCTCCTCCACAATCAACGTAATTGTCAAATCACTGATTGCCCATTATTTATTGAAAAGAAACAAAAATTCTGATCCCATACCATTTACAGTAGGGAAAAATAGTCCTATTTGGTCATAAATACGCATGTGGTCAGGTTAGACAAGAACATCACCAACAGGGCTAATGTAGTCCCTTCCCAGTTCAGTAATCATATCTGGGTTTATGGACCCTGGAAGCAGAAGTCAAAGTTTCATGCACTCTCTGTCAAGGCTTTTCTAATAAGAGTTGTATCGTCATGAGTAAACAGAGTTTACCCACTTCTCATTTGGGGAATATGGAGATTAGTTTAACCACTTTCTTCTCTTTTCTTTACCACTACATCACTGTGAATAATATACAGGGACCAGCCCTGAAAGATTCTGGTCTATATCATCTCTATATCCCACCTCCCGATTCTGGGGCCAGATTGAGACTGGTTGAGGCCTCAGTGATATTTAAACCTGCTCTAAGTTATGACTAGCTGCCTCAAGGGGGCATTTCAGCCCCTGTCTATTACCAGAACATAGCACCATTCCCCCTTCCCACACCTACTTACTGCGAAGAGAGACAAGATAGAGCCCTGGCTGCTGACTTTATTCCACTGGAAGATTCCCCACCTCAAGGGTATCTCATTGCTCATCTCAGTCCGCTATACATGCTTGCATCAGTAGGAGTCAGAAGAAACAGCACAGTGGGATGTTCCAGGTTGCCTGAAGAACATAGTTCACATTTGGAAAGTTCCTTCACAATGAGAGGACCAGCACAAGGAAGTCCTTGTCTGTAACTGGGGCCCTTAGGCACTACCCTAATATAAATAATGAGTTGTTTTTTTCCCCAATGAAGTCTTGTAATTTACAGAAAACTTTGGAGATCCCAAAACTCTATGGAGAAGTCCCTAAATCCATGTGTGTCCAGAGCCTCTGCCATTTCCTACAATATGGTAATTTTTGGGTGAGGGGGTTTCATCTGAAAAGAATAAGCCAGGGGATTTTGTCCTGAGTTGACAGCCCCTGTAAGGCTGTCTATCCACCGCAGGGCAAATAGCAACGCTCCTATGCTTTCACCCATGCTGCACAAGAACGTGCAAGGATTTAACCGATGTAACTCTGCGTGTGGTTTCGGTGGCATGGCTTTCACGTGATCCAAAGGAAAAGCAAAGGACCAAAATGAGTCTAAGCTACAAAATTCAGATCTTGGGTTTCAAACGCCTCACAGTTTGGGGGTGCTAAGATCCAGGCTTTGGGTGTGGGATTAATCTCTGAAACATGTATGTATATGGGGGCACGGAAAGAGGAAGAAAAGAAATGCCCCTAAGACAGCCAGCCTCTGTTTGTATTACTTATTTCTTACCTCATGGAGCAGTCAGAATTCAAATCCATATTTGTAGGAGCTGAAGACCTATCTACCATAAGGTCTCTTCCTTTCCTGGAAGTTGGTATTTCGAGGTGCTATCGCTCAAGCAGTTTGCACAAGGCAGCCTGGTTGTTGTGCTTCTAAAAATCGATAATGGCTACAGATAAAAATCAGCCCCAAACCATACGCTTTCCATGTTAAGCAAACGTTGTAGCTGGTTGTCGAGAACATAATAAATTGGGGGGATTTTTATTTTTTTAAATGAGTGGCCTTCAGCCTGACATGTACTGCTACTGTCCTTCCAGCTGATAGGACTGCAACTGTAGATGAAACTGCATCGCCACCTAGTGGATGGAGCAAAATTAAGCGGCGTTATTTGGAATTAATTTAATCATGAAAAAGAAATAAAACTTTCCTTTTGAGAAAGCCATTTAAAAAGTACACGGACTGAATCTTCATCTCATTTCAGTCAATATGATTTTTTCCAATAACTGAAATGGCATCGAGATTTGGCTCTTGCCTGTGTTTTAGATTGTGTAGGGAGGGGCTGTGTACAGCGCAGAGGGGAATTGGGGCTGCCAGTTGATAGAACCTGAGTGTGCGACCTGTGCAAGTGCTGCCATGCTCTCTGCAATTATTACTTGTGTTCTAGTAGCACCTATGGGCCGCAATGGAGATTGGTGTCCCCTTATAATAGCGAGGGAGAGTCCATGCCCTGAAGCGCTCATAGTCTAAATCAGGGGTTGGCAACCTTTCAGAAGTGATGTGCTGAGTCTTCATTTATTCACTCTGATTTAAGGTTTCGCGTGCCAGTCATACATTTTAACGTTTTTAGAAGGTCTCTTTCTCTAAGTCTATAATAAA